AAATTTTGCCCCCCCCCCCCCCGAAAGATGGTCCCCTTTGAGATAGGAACATTCCCAAAGTTTCATTACCCTAGCTCAATTCGTTCAAAAGTTAGCAGGGGTGGGACGGACTTTTGGTACACCCTGTATGTATGTATAAAAACTCGTATATACATATGTATAGGATACGCATGCGACTTAGGTAAAAGTTGGATTTTCTCGAAAACGAAAAGTTGTATGAAAATTCGGTCTGTACAGTTTTCCGATCTTCGATAGTGTAAAAGAATCGCATCGGTCTGTGGTGGATTGGAGGAGGAGAATTTTCCGAAAATATTTTCCAGCGTAGGACTTAGAAAATGTTTTAATATCCCGAATCAGACCCTACTCTTCAGTCTCCGATACCAGACCCATACTAGAGGAGACGGTCTTTCGAAGCCGAAAATTTTTACAAGTCCGAAAACCCAAATTTTCTGCACAAGCTGACAACATTGTATCGAAAAATTAACTAATTTCTTGCACCATCTGGCAACACTGTCAAATTCGATGTTGCAAAATTTCACCCATAAATAAATCATTTATTTATGTGCACCGTCCGGCAACGGTGTTGCATAACCGCCATCTTGAAGAATACACCATTGCATAACCCGCAGATTGAAGGGGCTACATTACATCATTGCATAACCCGCTTATTGAAGGGGCAACATACAATACTTCTTTTTTACAGCGTTGCCGTATTGAACAATACCCACCATACAACACTGTAATTTAATTCATATTTTTCTGCACAATTTGGCTAAACACTTTTGTGCTAATATTCCCATATTCATACTACTAAATTGAATTTGAAATGCCTTATCTGTCTGTCAAAAACCTAATAAATAGCGAACTTTTGAATTTGTCTAACAGATATGGGGTTGAAATGAAAATATAGTCCCTCCATTAGTCTTCTGACAACAGAATTGCGATCTCAAAATTGGAGAAAAATGACGAGTAGCTGAAAAAAAAGAACCAATTGATGCGATATATTGCATGCCGTTCTGACACAAGATATGGCGTCCATCGAATCACCTTAACTCAATAAAATTCCAAAATTTTGAAAATCATTTAATTCTAATTTTCCAAATATTGCCATATTTTTTAGATATGAATATTCTTCTTTCACAAGATTTGCAGTTTAAGTAGTGAAGAATTGTCAGCTCGACATTATTGTACGAATTTACTCTTTGTAAATATTTTTTTTGCTCTTTCTGGTTTGACTTTTTTACTTACAATATTTAGAATATCTTTGAGTGATAAAGATAACATTTATTTAAATCGATCAAAGTGGTATAGTTATCATACGTACACAAACAATCTTTAGAATATATGATATTGGTGGGAAATTTCAAATTTATAAAATTAGCACAAATATCTAGGTCAAACATATTCATCATATGTGACTCGTCGTAAGGTGTAATTTCGGGTCAAATTTTGAAAATTCGGAAATCCGAGGTGCCGGACATGGCCTAAAATGCTATCTCCGCCCCTGTCCAGCCGATCTTGATGAAACTTGATAGCAGGGGGAATTATCGGACGGGAAACTCGAATTTCGGGTCAAACTTTAAAAAAATTGCTTTAAAATTGAATTTGAAATGCCTTATCTGTCTGTCAAAAACCTAATAAATAGCGAACTTTTGAAAAATTTGTCTAACGGATATGGGGTTGAAATGAAAATAAATCTACCAGAAAAGCAGTTATGCATTCGTGGCCTCATAAGCCTGTGAACCTAATATTTACATAAAAAATTACCGTGAGTTTATAGTATCTAATTTTTCTAAACAAACCAATTTTGAACTTTCAAAAGTGATTATTGCTAGTAAAATTTTCCTTTCTATTCTCTCTTTTACACAATTTATTAGTCTGTCAAAAACTCAAAATACATAAAAAATTATGACTTACAACTCTTGCAGAAAGTTTCCCATTTTCCATGTGGGCTTGTTTGATTTCAATCTTCTCTGCCTTCAATGCGTTGAATATAGCTTCTTCACGCAAAACCTCATCCTTAATATTATTTATCCAGCTGGCCTGACCATGAGCTATTTGTTCGATTGTTTTATCTTCAACCTCATCATTGTTGGTTCTCTATATTGACAAAATTGAAGCACAATTGTAGTTATTTTGGTTGAAAGAAACGCAGTTGCATTTTTTATTAACAATAAGTTAATGTCCTGGTCACCTTTAGGGTTTTCAAAATTCAAACATGCAGCAAAATTTGAAATCACTTTGAATTGCATCAAGGGCAGGTTTCATTGGATTATAAATCTCTTCATCTGCAATTTCATTTCAGGTTTGACTGGATTTTAAGGCACTCAAGGTTAAATACAGCTGAAAGCTTGAAATAAGATTATATGCACCAGTGGTCGGTTGGCAACTGCAGCAGCGAAAAATTTACTGAAATCACTACTTTTAAGATGCCACGCCCCTAGTGTCTTAAAACTTACAATGCGTTAGACTCAAAAATCCTTTCATTGGCGGGCCATTTTTCCTCTCGAAATTGATGCGGAACTCCTAAAACGGATCACTTATCGGAAGGTCAGACTTTCAATAAATAATAAACATTGAAACTCTACAACTAACGAAATCCGTACATCAGAGTGTTGCATTTTCGGCACTTTTGTGATAAAAGTTGTTTTTGTATTGGAATTATCTCTTGCTTTATTGAACCCAAATATTCTATGAAAACGAAAAATTATCATTTATTTCATTCATACTCACCGTTTTCTTTATTTCGGGTGGTTTCTTGGATGGTTCCTTCTCTAGCACCAAGGGCATGAGGTGAACCTTTAAAACACATCAAAATACATCTTTTAATTATTAATTTTAAAAAATAACGTCAAAAAAGGACTGTACAAAAATAACACTTTAAAGAACTATAAAACATTAATTAAAATAGCTAACAAATAACCGTTTTTATTGCAATAAAAAATTGTTTAAAAGTTTTTTTTCTTAAAAAAAACCAATTAAACTGATTCCTAGTTTCAGGGAGAATAAAGATATTTTAGACCAGTCAATAAAACTGTGTAAATTATTTTAACTATCCTCTATGAAGTAGCATATAGTTTTATAGTAATAATTTTTAGTAATTATAGTTAATCAAAAGTTCAATTTTAATCCTTTTATGGAACAGGGTTTTTAAATTGGAAAAAAGGAAGTCTAAAGAAATTCAATTAAAGAATAATTTTACCTTTTCACTTTGATTATCAGTAATATCATTATCATCATTAATATAAACTTCGAAGGATTCAGACTTTCAGCGATTCTACGTTTTTCTATTTCACTCGAGAGGTTGCCAGATTGTGCGATAAATGTGAATATTTTACATGGATTTGAATCGGGAAGAGTGTTAAAAAAACAACTTATCTGGCAACAGTATAGAGTCCGGGAGGGACGAGAGGCTGCCTTCCTGGGAAAACCCATGATTTAGCCGGAAATGTCATTAAAACAATTGATTCCGTTTGAAGCATCAATTGTATACTAGGGGAAAGCGATTTTACAATAATAATTGTAAATGGACACAGATGCTACAGAGAGAGAAAAAGGGAAGGAAAAGGAAATGAAATGAGGATATGATTAATGAGGATACTATTATGCAATCAGAGAGACTAAAACAAAAACATCAGAGAAATTTATATGCGATGGAAGTATAAAAAAAAAAAACACGAGTGGGCTCATTGCGATTCGGAACTCGAACTATACTATCGTTGAGCAGTTTTTAGACCCCTACGCCGCCGATAATCTTCTTAAGAGGTAAAGACGAACTTTTGCTACTTCAGCAAGTCAAATCGCGGAAGGAGATCCATGGATTGTCTTTTTCCACTACCCGATGGGATGACGTTCCAGTCAAATGCGCTTTTGAAGAGATGATCGATCCCTATCATCGCTTCATCTCCACACATCTATTCATGTGCAAATGGTGGCACGCTCCGGCAACAAGGTTCTGTGACGAAATCATTTTTGCCTCCAGAGTCTCCAAAATGTATACATCTTAGTGATCGAATGTCCAATCACTGAGAAAAATAGCTCGCGGAGCGAGCCGAATGTCACTCGCGTAGCGAGTGATCTGGGGTCCAGGGGGCGCAGCCCCTCGGCTGGCCGCGACGGACGCGCAAAGCGCGTCCAGAACGGCTAGTTTATTAATATCTATACTATAAGCTCTCAAGCCTCCTAATTTTGCGAAACTGGTAACGCTTAGTTCCAGCGTTCTACCGGGCCGATTTTTATGATTTTTGCGGCTATCGACGGGCAATTGTCTCTAGATAAGCCAACTCTTTTCAGATTTTCAAAATATGGCCTAGGTTTTTTTATATTAAGTGGTAAAGTTGCGAATTCTCCCATTTAAACAATGTAAATTTATATTTTTTGTCATAGTTCGTTTGAGCGTTCTACCGGGCCGATTTCTAAGTTTTTTGCGGTAATCGACGGGTAATTGGCCCTAGATGAGCCCGCTCTATTCAGATTTTGGAAATAGGACCCAGGTTTTTTTACAATCACGTTATAAAAGTGAGTGAATTTTCAGAATGCTCCGAGACTGCTACCGCTATGCGCGGGAGGATGCGCAGTGGTCGAGGAGGTTGCGCAGTAGCTGTGTAGCCTGCGCATCAGCTCTACACTTATCTACACAAGATTCGCCCCGTCTGCCTCAGGTAGAGCGGTGGCCGAGTCGTCAAAGACGTCGGGAGCGTCCACTTTAGATATGGTGTGGGTTCGATCCCCGTCTCCCGAAACTCTTAATTATTACTTGATTATCAACGTTCGTTGTTTTACTGCAATATTTCATCAAGTAGTCATTCCAAAACGCGTCCTTTAGACTTCAAAAAAATAATTTTGTTTCTTTATTCATCAAAACCCAAAATTATTTCATTCTAAAAGTAAAGTATACCTTATATCGTAATTTTTTAGGGGAAAAAATGAAAATTAACACCGATAGGAGGGTAAAAATAGGGTCGCGAAGCGGCCCATTGATGGCGCGGAGCGCCTTCAGGGGGTTGGGCCGCGTAGCGGCCAGGGGGCGTAGCCCCCTAGTATAAGAATAATTGCTATGAAAAAATAAAAATAAGGAGGGTATAACTACCGTCCTCTGAAAAAGGAACGAATCCTTGTCAAAAACCTGCATTCTTCAATCTAAAAAAGTCTTCTAAAATGGAGACAAAATATTTAAACTGAAAAGAATTTTTGAAAATAAATATAAATTATGAAATCACAAAACATATTAAAAATTACAGAATGAAAAATGAGTTTGAAATGAAAATTTTTGACTTGTATTGATAAACCTAATCTGAGGTATGATTAACTAATGAAAGAACCAAAATTAAATAAATAAAAAAATAAATTATGATCAGTTATTGTATTTACACTTACATTTGAAGAGTCGGAGATATCTTCCTGATGGGTTGACAGAAAAGCCGCCACAAACGGTAGTATGATGCACAGGACGATATTCATGGTTGTTATGTGTACCTAAAACAACTGATTACTGTAATCGAAGCGAAGTCCACGCAGAGTTTCTCACTCTTATCAGTCACTGATAATGATTCTGCAACTCGATGAAACATCCTGCAGATAATAAAATGAACTGCGTATAATTTATATCAAACATGACAGTGTATATTTTTAAAGATTGACGTGTCAATGGCTGGAGTTAGTCCTAACATATAACTCGTTTCCGGTGGAAGGCTGGGCTCCGTAGAAATTAGAAGTCGATGCAACACGCGATAAGTTTCCAAGAAGTCCGAGACAATATTTTTTCTTTTTTTTTACTCAAGTATTTTGATAGCATCGATTCTTATAGTTGCTAAATGAGTTCGATCCACGCCTGGAGTTTTTTCGTGTGTGAGTATGTTCTGGCCTTAACAGATGCTAATTTATGTAATTTAAGGCTGCTTCTGCTTTCTTGAGCAATAAATGGAGAGAGAACATTACTAGTGCTACTGTCTCAAAGTTTAAAACCCACTTTTGGCACTTGGCACCAGGAAACGCTGGTTGTCCTCTTTGAGTCAGTGGGTTTTCTGCCTCAGAAGAATGATAAATCATTGACCCATTATCGGAAGTGATTTTATCAATTAGTTTAGTAAAAAAAGGGGTTCCCAGTTTTAAACTTGAAGATAAATAATTTACTGATTCAATATCCCTTCTTAGTAATCATTTTCTTCCAACACATCTTGGAGATTGATTTCTTTCTAGAATTTGTTTCATATGCTGACTAACAAGGGGAACTTCCCAAGCTGCCGCCTCCGATCGGGCTGAAAAAATTCGTACGAACTCTTTGGATGAATTTATTTGACCCGTATTTTTTTGTTTTTTCCAATGCCCCCCAGAAACACCCCAAAAAAATTCCGGAAAGTTTTGCTTTGAGCGCTTGAGTGTATATACGCAGTATAGCAGATCCCGCTTATCGTTAAGTGGTGGCTCTGCGGTAGCGCGCTTGCCCAATGATCCGGCGGGCCCGGGTTCGATTCCCGGGCGCCGCGCAAAATTTGTACGACCGAATTTTATATTCTCACACATTTTCACATCGATTCCCATTTGATACATTAGAACTTAAAACATCATTTAATTTACAACCATCAACGATCAATAACTTCTTCAATTTGAAGTGTAGATTTTTTTTTGGGAGGGGGGGAGGGGTCACGCGCGCGATATTCTCGCCAATCACTGTACTTTCACATTAGCAGATGACCCGCTCCGCCCCCTCACATCGACATATTTCTCCCGATCACCCGTATGAGTCATGATTTTTCCCATCATTATCCAGAAAATGATAATGAAAAATT